CTGTCTCCAAGCGTTATTAGTCTCAAAGTGGGTTCCTCGTCATCAAATTTGAATCCTTTCCTGCGTTTTGCATATAATAATTTTTACTGTTGAGTTTACTAGAAAGAACAAAAACTAATCACTTCATTTTTTCCATGGTAGATTGCTAAGTGATCACTAATGTGGACAACTCAATGTGCAATATTCCAACTTTTACTGGAAATATAATCTGAAATTGAGCGCGATATGCCTTCATCAGTAACTCTGTACCATATTTTTAATGAACTGGTAAGGCGGATGTATATTTTTAGTTTCTGTTTGACACCTATACATGGCTTGATTTTCTAATTGTTTTGGTAAATTTTTTTCTGTCAGGTAAGACATCTGGTCTCCTAAAACAATGTCAATATTGTTGCAATCGTAGTTTACAAACTTTCTTGAGCAACTGTAAAACTTGATATTAATGTCTTCAAGCAAAACAAAATTACTTCTCAGTACTTTTAAAAGCATTTTTTACATGATCATGCACAAAGGCACACTTAAGGTCTTCAGTGTTTTTTATATTTGTATAGGTGACATTTCTTTATTGTTTGATAAATGGAAAGCACTACTGCAATTCTTTACATATAATTTGCTGCTTTATATAACAAAGTTATCTCCAAAGACTACTCGAAACACCAATACCGACATTTTACAATCATATGAAATCATAATAATCTAAAAACTCACATTTTAAGATTTAAAATCAACTCTGATAAAAAAAAACATCAAAATATTTACAGCAACAGTGACAAATATTCCCTTTGATTTTATTATGAACATAAACAGTTTTGTGATATTCATAATTTTGTTGACTCTTATGTGAAAAGTAACAGTACGTAAGAGGAAAGGATATATATAAAAAAGAAAAAGAGAAATAATGCTTAATTCTGGCAGCTACTTTTGCTGATCAAACAAGTACAATAACTACTACTAGTGACTCAGATAATTTCTAAACCAACCTAAACTGGTTGTATATTTTTAAAAATTATTTTAACTTGAAGTTTCTCTGGAAGCTATGTTAATTTGGGAAGTTAGACACCACAGACCATGCAGTTTGCTCTCTGGATTATTCTGTGGAAAGATAGATACTATAGACCATCCATATTGCTATCTGGGTCATTCTGTGGGAAGACAAACACTACAGATCATGCAGATTGCTGACTGGATTATTCTGTGGAAAGATAGATACTATAGACCATCCATATTGCTATCTGGGTCATTCTGTGGGAAGAAAAACACTACAGATCATGCAGATTGCTAACTAAATTATTCTGTGGAAGATAGATACTACAGACCATGTAGTTTGCTAACTGGATTATTCTGTGGAAAAATAGACACTATAGACCATCCATATTGCTAACTGGGTCATTCTGTGGGAAGACAAACACTACAGATCATGCAGATTGCTGACTGGATTATTCTGTGGAAAGATAGATACTATAGACCATCCATATTGCTATCTGGGTCATTCTGTGGGAAGAAAAACACTACAGATCATGCAGATTGCTAACTAAATTATTCTGTGGAAGATAGATACTACAGACCATGTAGTTTGCTAACTGGATTATTCTGTGGAAAAATAGACACTACATATCATGCAGATTGCTATCTGGGTCATTCTGTGGGAAGACAAACACTACAGATCATGCAGATTGCTAACTGGATTATTCTGTGGAAAAATAGATACTATAGACCATCCATATTGCTATCTGGGTCATTCTGTGGGAAGACAAACACTACAGATCATGCAGATTGCTAACTGGATTATTCTGTGGAAGTTAGACACCACAGACCATGCAGTTTGCTAACTGGATTATTCTGTGGAAAAATAGACACTATAGACCATCCATATTGCTATCTGGGTCATTCTGTGGGAAGAAAAATACTACAGATCATGCAGATTGCTAACTGGATTATTCTAATGATCAAGGTCCTTATGATTAGTACAGATATTGATATTTAAAAATAAATCAAAATGTTTCATGACTTTAAAGACTCTTTGGATTACTACTTAAACAGAAACTGGAAGCTAATTGAATATAGACTTTTAAATAAAATGAATGTCAAGCAAAAAAATTCATTACTTTACACAATCTGAACATCAGAGAATATACTTAGGTATAAATCAGACGGTGTATGCTAGTATGTCCATCACTGTATGAATGTGACTTTGGGTGTTCATCCATATATGTTGATGTTCCCATCAGAAAAGATATGTAAGTGCATCCATCAGTGTATGTAGGTGTGTTTATCAGTATATGTAGGTGTGTTTATCAGTGTATGTAGGTGTGACCATCAGTGTATGTAGGGGTGTCCATCAGTGTATGTAGATGTGTTCATCAGTGTATGTAGGGATGTCCATCAGTGTATGTAGATGTGTTCATCAGTGTATGTAGGGGTGTTTATCAGTATATGTAAGGTGTGACCATCAGTGTATGTAGGTGTGTTTATCAGTATATGTAAGGTGTGTTTATCAGTATATGTAGGTGTGACCATCAGTGTATGTAGGGGTATCCATCAGTGTATGTAGATGTGTTTATCAATATATGTAGGTGTGTTTATCAGTGTATGTAGGTGTGTTCATCAGTGTATGTAGGTGTGACCATCAGTGTATGTAGATGTGTTTATCAGTATATGTAGGTGTGTTTATCAGTGTACGTAGGTGTGACCATCAGTGTATGTAGGGGTATCCATCAGTGTATGTAGATGTGTTCATCAGTGTATGTAGGGGTGTTTATCAGTATATGTAAGGTGTGACCATCAGTGTATGTAGGTGTGTTTATCAGTATATGTAAGGTGTGACCATCAGTGTATGTAGGGGTGTCCATTAGTGTATGTAGGGGTGTTCATCAGTGTATGTAGGTGTGTTTATCAGTATATGTAAGGTGTGTTTATTAGTGTATGTAAGGTGTGTTTATCAGTGTATGTAAGTGTGACCATCAGTGTATGTAGGGGTGACCATCAGTGTATGTAGGGGTGTCCATCAGTGTATGTAGATGTGTTCGTCAGTGTATGTAGGGGTGTTTATCAGTGTATGTAGTTGTATCCATCAGTGTATGAAGGTGTGTACACCAGACAGTGTATATAGGTGCAAAATAATTATATAATGCTTTGTTGACTTTTTTTTAGGTCAGTACAACATCATGCATGCAGTACTAGTTATGGTCTTAATGTCAAACATCACAGATAACCTTTACTGCTGATTATAAATTACTAACTTTACAATTCTACCAAATACAGCATTAAACACTGACATATAATTCTATAAAAGTATCTATATGGTGTTTCTGTCTAGTATACAAAACATTTCAAATGGCAGTAGAGGAATATAAAATGACTTAAATCCACAAGTTCACCTTTTCCAAGTGCGATACTGCTCTTTCCATTTTTCTTATCTTGTCATTCAGTATGAAAACTGAAGACTGGGCATTATTTCTGCATTTAATGCATAATCCTAGTGTTGTTTCTTCTTCACAAACAGGACAAGCTAATGTTGTAAAATACTGTGAAAGAGTCCCCTTCTTATGATGAGGATGGAACTCGGATGACAGAACTGTTTTATTTGTACGAGGCATTTCACTGTACCTGAAAGATATTCATGTTTATATACTAAAAAAATTCCACAACACTCAAATATAATTCATATTTGCAAATTCATTATTCTAAAACTTAAAATTTTGGAACATATAGAAAAGATTGTCTTTAATTTTGTTTTTGTTTTTGGAATTTCGCGCAAAGCTACACGAGGGCTATCTGCGCTAGCCGTCCCTAATTTAGCAGTGTAAGACTAGAGGGAAGGCAGCTAGTCATCACCACCCACCGCCAACTCTTGGGCTACTCTTTTACCAACGAATAGTGGGATTGACCGTCACATTATAACACCCCCATGGCTGAAAGGGCGAGCATGTTTGGTGTGACGGGGATTCGAACCCGCGACCCTCAGATTGTGAGTCAAGCGCCTTATCCACCTGGCCATGCCGGGCAATTGTCTTTGAAGGATATACATAATCTAACCTATATAAAAGCCAGCGTGTGTCACATCATGCTTGATTTCTCGAAATAGAAGGAGTCATAAAAGCTAAAATGCATTTATTCAGATAGAATAGTTTGATTACTGTCTGACCATTAAGATTTTAGTGATGAGGGAGCAAGTGGGCCAGGAAACCTTACAAGTGTAGTGAGTGTTAGTATAATAAGCCTAAAGTAAAGACGTAGTGTGGGATCACCTAGCCTAGAGTCAAGTGCATAAAATTTATCATGAAAGTGAAAATATCGATTCAGTTTTAAATTTGAATTGTTTCTGAATTAAGCTATTTTCTGTCATATCACCAATGTTTTTAATAAAAAATAAATCTTTTTAATCAATGGAGACTCTAAGTTAAGAAATCAGCAAATGCATTTCCAGTATTGTTGTCCATACATTTCATTGTATACTTTCAGTACATAGATTAACAACAATATTCGACAAAATATGAACCCATCACTCTGCTTCTAGATTAGATGCTTTTTCTAAAGAAGCAAAAGTAAGATTGCATTGCATTTATTCAGTAGCATAGTCTTTAAGTTTCAACTAATCATTTCTGACAAACTTGCAGGACAGTTTACTCTTTGTTAAAAGATGTTCAGGTAAATCAGTACTTTGTATAGTGTTTCATCTGATTTGAAAAGCTCAGAAGAGTTTTTAATTCAAATAAAAAATGATGTAATTATGTGATGGTCTTTTGTGACATGAATAACTAGAAAGCAAAACTTTATTAATTAATTATTTATTAGTTGTATTTTCAAGAATAAACCTATTTAAAAAAAAAATCATAAAATACAAACTGAAATTACAAAGTATGCATCATATATTCAATATGTCCTTCAAAATATTTACTGTGTTCACAAGATGTGTACAGAAAAATTGTGATTGAAACAGTGAATGACATACTTCATTCTGATGTCCAATGTGTTTATCTATGCTGTGCTAAGGCACAGGAAACAGTTTTAAACAACCAAAACGAAGTAAAAGACAATAATGTGTGATAATCACATGTCAAACATTTATGCTTATTGAAAAAGTAGTCAACTTGAAATAATTAATGTTATAGACACGTATGAGGTATATAAAGTGCTAAAGGAAAATAGTGTATAGAGGTAATAATGTTAAAAAGCAAATAAAAGAAACTGTATTTGGCAAAAGATAAATTAAAATGAACTTTAATGAGAATCTGTGTACAATTATCAGGCAACAGGAGAAGTCCTCTATACACAAGGTAACACAGGACACAATACAGCTATCCCATTGGACCCTGTTATAGAAGCAACATCTAAAGCTGAATATATTTAGAGAAAAATAAAAAATTTGTAGTCATGAAGTATGTTGTATAAGAGGTTGGTATATGTAGTATTTGTTTACCACAGCTTTTACCTTGTTCTATGTCAAAATGAATATCACATTCTTAATAGCAGTGATGTAGTGCTAACTTTTACAGTGCCAGAGTCTTGCCCTGCCAAAATTTGTCAGACGTGTAATGTCACTGTGAGGGTAAAGATCTCATATTGAAAACCTAATTTTCATTTTGTGAGTTCATTTTAAATAAAAAAAATACAAGCAGCACTGGTTATTGAAGAATATTTACATTAGTACTAAAACACACAACTCAACTTCCTTTAAATTAAGCAGTAAGAGAAAAATATTACAAGAGGATACCATACAAAAAATCACTAACATTAAAATGCATTTCTTATTAATGTACTATATTTTTAATCACACTATAATATTAACAACTTTGACTTTTATAATGCTTTGCACACCTCCTGTCCTGCCAACATGAATAACCAAACAAACAGTGACTTTTGTTGTATATTATGTAGATAATAAGCCATTTGAAAATGTGTATGTTTTGAACACACACAGCTTAATTGTAAAATGAATTTTATTAAGTGTCTTAACACGTATTATAAGACAAAAACATTTCATCATTTCACAGGAACTAATAAACAAGATCACACGATGGATAATATTTTCCAACAAATGTTATCATAATTTCACTAAGCTTAAAAATTAGGGTAATGTCCAACTGAGATAACTAATATGGTAGCTCAGGCAGTGATATGAATAAACAATATAAAATAGATTGATATTCTTTTGTTCATACATTTACACGTGAAAGCCACACATAACTTTCTCTAGTTACGAAACACTAACTGGAAATGAACAATTTTATTTGATGGACAACCAGTTCTGGTAAATCTAAGATGGGTTCTTGTCAAGATTTCTAAATTCATTCAACCAGATTTAAATATCAGTCTTTTATCTAAAATTTTGTATGATATCATTAAAATCACTTTTATAATTCTGTTATAACATTGAAGATTTATATAAACATGATTTACCTAAAATGAACTGATTATATACATATATTTGCTCTGGTTGGATGCCATTACATACTTCAATGATTTTTGTTGAATTGGACTGCAACATTATAGAGAATAAAGTGATAGTGGTATTGTTAAAAGATCTGATAGAATAAATAAACTGGCAGAGAGCAGGTAGGTGCTGACTTTATGAAGAGATGAAAGCATCCAGTGGAACTCTCTCTGATGGAGCTTTAATTATAAAAGTATAATTTCTTCTGATACATATACATAAGTGCTATGTGATGTGGATGACTCATTTTGAAAGAGCCAACTTATAATATTAAACTGGATATCTGTAGTTTGACAGATAGCTATAATGGAGAATTAATTAATATTTACTTCTGAAGTTTTTGTACTATAATCAATCACTCAAAAGTTTGATCTCAGTTTATATCAGATGCTTGACTGTCTTAAGCCTGTACTGCCCCCCAGTAGCACAGCGGTATGTCTGTGGACTTACAACGCTAGAATCCGGGTTTCGATACCCGTGGTGG